CATATTCTATTCGAGTTTTGGACTGTGTTACCGCCCATGCCAAGAATTTGGTAGTTGGCTTTTATGGTGGAAAGACCAAGTAACCTTTGTATACGGGATGTCACAAAAATTTTTTGAGAGCCTTGATCAACAACCTTTCTCCAAATGCGAGTACGCCAGGCAATTTTTGCAGTAGTTGTTGTCTTTAATGTACTTATTCCGGCTTCAGACGGATAGCTCTCAAAATTTTACTCACGTTATCATCGAGTGGTTTGAATTGCATAGAATTTATGAAACTTGCCATTTGTTTTGACTCTTCCTTGATGTGAGTGATTGCTTCTAGAGAGCTAGTCTCATCCGGCAGTTTTGAAGAGTAGAGGCAGACGAGCAATGCGTCTCAGCTTTCTGTAGATACTCCATTTGCTTGTAAGGTAGAAAGACAATTAGTTATTGTTGTCTGGATCTTTTGAATCCTTTCTCAGTTCTCTGTGTGGACAGGTTGGATGTTGAACAACGTCTTTATTTGGCCATCAACTTCGATGCGATGCTAACGAGAAATTGTGTACACTAGGTGGATAATTTTTTATGAGGAGTGCAGCATTACCTCTTGTCTTCTGCCTCAAATGGTATAGTTTCTGAACTTCGGATGATTGGGGGTGGTTGATGTACACTGCTGTGAACATATCTCTAAATTAGGGCCAATCTTCATATCCTCCATAGAAGACTTCTGTGTCACATGCAGGCACCTTGAGAAAGCTGAGTGAATCAACTTGAGTTGGGGGTTGTACTGGATATAGGCATCGCGTTATCATATGTATGCAACAATAGCAAAAATTTTAAACAAATACATACAAGTAGGTATAACAATATTTTTGTTATTTACTACTCTTTTTCATTTTAAAGCTTTTTCCTGTTCTTCGCCTGCACATTATTTAGCGAAGAGTGAGTGAAGATTAAAAATTCAGAATGAGTCAATTTCAAGAAAATAGAAAATAAATAGATGTTCCAATAATATCTCATAATCATTTCTTTACTTCATGTTGGTAAAATAAATTTGATTGAAACGAGCTGTTTTCTGAGTTATTCCCAAATATCAGTTTCATGGTATACCATAAACCACACATGTTGGAAGCACAAAAGGTAGTAATCTCGACAGAAATGATTCAAAAGTTAATCTTAGTCATGAGCTCTGTAATATTTCCGCTTCTCGAAGGTCTTCCTTTTTTGATTGGAGCTGGCGAAAGATTCAGATGTGCTTTAATAAGTTATTTCACGCTGCTTATCATGATTCCTTTTGATAAAAATCAAATAAATAAATTAGTGTTGATATATTCTACAAACGAAACGAAAAAAGCAGAGTAAACTTTAAAATTCAATTTCGGTAAACCTGAATGGAAAACATTGGCAAAAATTAACTTCTGCCCCAAAGAAGTTGCATGTTATATCCGGATATCAGGAATAAAGAAGAGGTGAATTATTCAGCGAGAGCTAGCGATCGATGTTTGAAGAGATGTGCCAAAATATAAAATAAAAATGACAAAAAAACGCAGCGATAACGACAGTATCGTAATATAAAAAAACATGATATTCTTAATTTAGTTAAAACATACATGTATAGCAGAATAACGACAAGTATTGGTCGCAGATATTAATGATAGCCAAACCCGGCAAAGACCACAGACCAATAAGCCTACTAGCATGTCTTTCCAAATTATTTGAAAAAATTCTGCTATCAAAAATATCTCCAGATACCAGATCACCACTTCGGCTTTCGTGAAAAGTATAGTACTATCGAACAAGTTAACCGAATAACTAAAAAAATCAGAAAGTCGTTCGAGCTCAAGGAGTACTGTTGTCAAATCTTTCTTGACGTAGTACAAGCGTTCGACAAAATCTGGCATAAAGGTTTGCTGTACAAAATACATAAAGCTCTGCCTGTTCAATTTTAAATCATACTTAAGTCATATCTGACTAACAGACAATTTACCATTAAACAATCTGAATTTATCAGTGAGGAGTCTCCGGTAAAAGCTAGTGTCCCGCAGAGTAGCGTCATATACACTGCAGACATCCCATTAAACCGAAAGTGCAGATATTTACCTCAGCCGATGACACAGCTATTTTATGCCGGGATAAATGCCCTAAAAGAGGGGCAAAACAATTAGTGATCATTAACTCCTCATCGAAGAATGGCTAAAAAACTGGAGAATTAAAGTTAATGAACAAAAGTGTAAACACGACCGCAATCATGTCCTGCAATTCCCTTAAATGATATATATATTCCCTAAGTAAATGATGTTACATACCTCGGTATACACTTAGATAGGCGTCTCACTTGGAACAGACACATAGAGGCAAAATTACTACACATGAAATTAAAAGCAGCTAGTTTAAATTGGCTTTTAAAGAAAATCTCCGGTCTAAAACTAGACTATAAAGTCTTTATTTACAACGCAGTATTAAAACCAATTTGGATGTGTGGTATTCAACTCTAGGGTACGACCTGTGCAAGTAATATTGATAAAATACTGAGGTTCCAATCCAAAATTTTAAGAGCACTAACGGGCGCACCATGGTACGTAACGTTAACAGTCATCAAGACCTTGATATTTTTCTGGTTAAGCCTTAAATTGAAAGAAGCAGGACGAAGCACTTTACAAAGCTAAGAAAGCATTCAAATGCCCTAGCTAATGCTTTATGCAAGCCATCGAGGAATTCCCGCCTGCAGCGAAGAGATGTTCTCGCCTTCTAAGGAGAGCGCCATAGTTTGAAATAGGCTCAGAGTAAAATAACTCGAGCTATCATATCTCTTATTTAGTTTTTAAGATTTGTACACTTATTGTTAGGCTTATATTATAGCAGATCCAGTAAATAAATGAATTATGTTTAAAAAAAAAGTATTAGTCTATCTAAATTCTTAAATCAAAAATATAATGATATTGATACAATATACACGACATATTGTTGAAAGCTTTGTTTTAGCGTTTGTAATACTTGCAATTTCCGTATTCGTATGTACACATAATTTTTATATTGCGTTTTGACCGTTTATTCTAAAAGAAAAAAAAAGAAAAAGCAGCACATTTTTTCTAGTTTACTGTGTTATTCGGCATTGAAAGCATGTTGTTAAAATATTTTCTTATATATAAAATAATAAATATTATTTGAAGTAATAATTGTTTAAAGTAACGAAGCAAAAGTTTGAAGTGCACAGGAGAAATTTATTACGAAATTATAATAGTTTTTCATTATTTTTGTGTTAAAAAATATATAAATTAGAAATAAATAAGGGAATTAGAAATTCAAATTTGATTTACTATTTATTGTACATAAAGAAATACAAAGAGAATATGAAAATAAATTAAAACTAAGTAAAGTGTAAGCTCGATTATGTAAATATGTGAATAATAGAAAAGAAGGTAAAGTTACTGAAAATTAAAGCAGAACAGTATTGAGAAAGTAAAGATAACGACGGAAAAAAATATAGTTTAACTAATATTAATTAAATGCTAATTTCTGAAAGCTCAACAACAACAGCGGCATACGACGAGACCCATCGAAGGCCTTCGAAACAGCATCTAAGTATGCACTTATGAAAGTAAAACTACCAAATATTGATATTTTCCTTAATCAAATTTTTTTTCGCTAATATTCATGGATGTAAGAATTTAAATATCTTTTCTTTTTCAAACTTACTTTTTACAATGGGTTTTCAACAATTGATTAAAATAGCAAATAAATTATAGTAATTAATAGCGACTTGATAAAATTTGAAATTGTATTTATAAATGGTCTTAATAATTGGAATTATGTAATTATTTGCTATTCAGAAGAAAAAACCTATGTTATGTTTAAATTAATAGTTTTTAGCACTATATGTTCAATTTAGTAAATAAAACATGATGATGAATTCTTAAATATTAAACCAGTGGTCTGAAATTGGATGTTTTGTTGATAGGTCAAAAGGGGTTTCTTTTACAACAATGAAACCATTGGTAGGATGGGCTCGGAGCAGCGAAAACAACCTCAGTGGCTGATAAGAGATTTGTATGGTTAGGGATTATATAGGAAATTATGAGGCTTAGAAAACAGCGCGTCGGTTCCTTGATTTCTTTTATTGGTCCTGAAAGCCATTATAAGCCGAACTCCCCCCATGACTCGAGCAGCTCGAAAGCTAGTGCACACATATGGTTGTAACGATATAAGCAGAACCGGACGCTAACTATAAAAGTTGTATGGATAGGTCAGTGGGATGATGAGAGTGGATAACAGTCTAACAAAAATGGCACCCAACGTGGGGCCCGCGAAGTCATGGAGTATGTGAAGATGCGGTCTTCACCTATTGGATTCATCTTAAGGATCATTTGTATAATGTCTGTCTGCGCGAGAAAGAAATACTGCATTAAAACTTTGAAATTCAGCCTATGGTCATTGCTTACCAAATTTTGTTTCTCAGCTTTTTCTCTTCCTATTTTTTTATTTAGTGTAATATTTGCTCAATAGAATTCTATATTTATAACTTGGAATTTTGACTAGATTTAGCTTAATGCTTTCCAGTATACCATTAAATTATTAGAGTTTCATCCTAAAGTTAATTTAAAATTATAATTTTTTAATGTTTAAGTTATATTAATATTTTTTTTTTGTATATTTAAATCAACCCTTAACGTTGTATTGCTAAAAATTCCGTGATTTCCTAACCAGAATCCAAGCATAAGTTAAAAAGTTATACCATCAGCAAACACATCCGAAAGTAAGACCACAACTTCAAAGCGCTTATTGAACTTTGATACAGCTACTGATTTATATTCATTTTCATCAAATCGACTATAAAATTACTTAAAAATTCATCATTGAAAGATATTAAATCTATATACTAATCTATACTATTTCAAATCTACCGGTCTCTGGTTGTCTATTTGAATATTGCTTTTCACATTTTGAACTACATATCTATGTATAAAGCTCATAGGTTGATCTCAATACATTTTTTTTTTTTGATATTGCGCCTCTTGTTGACAATGCCAATGACATGGCATAGTAGCGAAAACTTACCACATCAGGTAAATGCTTGTGTTATATGTCGCACAAATTTTAGCGAGAACGATGAAGTTCTAACAACTGTATGCTCGCACAAATTTCATCGGCAATGTTTGCTAAATTGGCTAAAACGCAATCTGGCCTGTCCTCAATGTCAGACTGCTTGCTGCAACATCCGAGATTTTGTTACTAATACTGGCATGCGTACACGGTCAAAGCGAACAGTTACTGATGCAAACACCGTCTGTAATAATCCAGATTTAGGTTCAACAGGACAAAGTAATCAACCTGAAGAAAGTGCAATGAGTTTACCAGTAAATACTGACCACATCAATGTTGTTAATTCAAACCAGGAAAGTGGAGATTCGCGCATAAACACGTTATTAAATGCAATAATTTTCACTCGCCAAGCCACTATTTTTGACGGGCTCGAAACACGAGTTGGAAAAATGGTCGAACAACGAATCAAAGGCGCATTGAACAATTTACTAAGTCGAGTTAACTTAAACGGAGCTCAAACGGATCAGTCCAAAATAACCATGATCAAAACCAAAATAACACCCAAAAAAATCCGCACTTGTCTACCCCTTTTTTACCTCGTGAAAGGCCTGATTTTGATAATCAATTGAATCATGACCAGTTTAATAGGCAATTAGATCAACTCGGCTTTAGTAATGTGTCGTCAAGCCTGTGTTAAAGCAGCTAGGTTAATCTCCAGTTGGGACATCAAATTTGATGGATCAACAAATCTTACTGTAGAAAGTTTCATTACCGCATCGAAACACAAGCTGTAGATACCCTAAATGGAAATTTTAACTTATTGTGCGAAAATGTTAAATGCTTATTTTCGAAAGAAGCCAAAGATTGGTACTGGCAGTATCGACGCACTGTGGAACGTGTCAGTTGGCAATCTCTTTGTCAAGCTCTACGTATGCATTTTGAAGTACATAAGACTGACACTGAAGTAAAAGAGAGTATTCGAGCTTGTAAACAAGGACCGACCGAAATGTTTGATGAATATCGTAACTCAATTTTGAAAATTTCTGAAAGCCTGCATTTACCATTGCCGGGAGCAGAATTGGTTGAAATTATGCAAAGAAATATGCGTCCACGAATACGTCAACATCTTTTATACACATTCGTTGGCAGAACTTCGCAGACTTTGTTTAAAAGGTGAAAATTTCAAGCGATAACTTTTTTTGTCATACCTTGTATGTCTCAAGATGTAATCTTAGGGATAGATTTTTTAAGTAAATTCCAGATAGCACCACATATCATTTCACAAATTGATAACGTATATTTTGCAGAAATTTCCGAGAATGAGAATAAACTTCATTTGTCTGATGAGCAACAACAACAGTTGTGACAAAGAAGGGTTGGGGAAAAGCTTCATATAGAGCATATGATTGAACTACAGCCAAAAGTCAGACCTGTTAAGCAGCGTTATTTCTCCTCAACATAAGAATCAAGTTTTGATTGGATCCGAAGATTTCACTACTCATATATCTGTTCTATCTGAAGTAGCTTTACATTTACGCTAAGCTGGTTCAACAATAAATGTAAGCAAAAGAAAGTTTTGCAGTAAAGAAGCCTTGGATATATTGTTGGTAATGGAACATTACGTACTGATCCGGATAAAGTCTCTGCAGTCACAGAATATCCGATACCTACAAAACACGAAACAATTACGAAGATTTCTCGGAATGGCAGGTTCGTACCGCCGTTTTATCGAAAATTTTGCTACTATAACAACTCATCTCTCAAACTTACTCAAAAAGGGCAAATCATGTGCATAGAACTCCGAAATGTTTCATAATACAATGTGATGCCAGTAAATTGGGTGTTGGTGCAGTTCTCTCGCAAATGAATGATGATGGAATTGAGACCCCGATTGCATTCTTTTCACAAAAACTAAACAAAGCTTAAAGTAATTACTCAGTAACCGAACTTAAATATCTGGCAGCCATGCTCAGTCTGAAAAAGTTTCGAGCGTACGTCGCGGGTCAGGAATTTAAAATCGTTACAGACCACGCTAGTCTAAAATGGCTGATGCGCCAAACTGAGCTATCAAGTAGATTAGCTCGCTGGTCATTAAAACTCCAAGGATTTAAATTAACGTACTCAAAATATTGTTCCTGATTGTATGTCCAGACAGAATTTCGAAGACAGATCTGTAGGTAATAGTGAAGTTTGTGATGCTATTGATTGTGATGTTTGCCCTCTGATAGATTTAATGTCAAACGAATTTAAATCAGAAGAACATGAAAACTTAAAGACGTAATAACCCATCTCGTTTACATGATTTACAAATTTAAATGAATATATTTATAAGCGAACCGAATTCTCCGAAGTCCTGAAAACGGACAATTTAATTGGAAATTGTGGTTTCCAAAGAATTTAGTAGCTCCAGTTATTTATAACGCTCACTCACCTCCAAATAAATGTCGTTTTCATATTAATGTAGTAATACATCAGATATGAGCGCTGTTATATTCGGTAAACGAAAAGTAGAGGATTTCATTTACTGACTTTGGGTACCCGCTATGTATTATATATAATATTATGAGAATAGAATAGTTTAGCGGATTTTGTAATTTTGCGCAGACTTAGTAAACTTTTTAATTTAGTATTATTATTATTTTTATTTTTTTTTTGGGATCTGATATGTATGATGAGGAGGTATCATACACTGTTTGGCAAAATCCGCTAAACTTAATCCAATATGTTATCGAGTGAGAGAGTGGACTTACTTTGACATCCGGCCTTATTACAGACCACTTATTCTGGGAGAAGGATGGTGTGTTGTCTTTTATTTAGTGCTGGTGTTCCTGTGTTGTTGAATTTTTGATTTTCTCCTCGGTAGCCCATAAACGTACACTTGTTTGTAGATGTTTTGTTTGTTTCGTGCTTGATTTGATTAATGTTTGTAAACTTTTATATATTTTAAAATTTTATTTAATTCTTTTTCTTCGTTTCTTTTTTTGTGTGTGTTTTTTTCTTCACTGCGTGTATGTAGTTGTATATGTATGTATATAAAATATATAAGTTTTTTCCGTTTATATTTTTTTGCACCGCTTTGTATGTTTTACACTTTTTTATGTACGTAAATATGTATTTTATTTTCAAAACACCCGATTTACGACAACACGACTTTTCGCTTACTATGTTTTCGATCGCGTTAAATTTTGTTTTAATTTATTTAATTATGTATTATTTTATTTTTAAAATTTAAAAAATATATAACTTTTTTTACTGTTTTCCTCATAAGTGGGTTTCGGCACCATGTAATATAAATATCAGCTACTTGCTGCATTTATTTAATTATTAAACTGTATTTAATTAAACCACGCACCTGTGTTTTTAAAATTTATGTATAAATTTATTATTTAATTTTTTATATAATTATGAGGCACACGACCGTCGAGGTTAAGCAAGCGAAATAAATTCAGACATAAAATTACCATTACATGCATATTTATATACATTATTTTTCTACATAGTTATTGGAATAAAAAAACGGAACGGAGTAAGGTTGCCGGTAAATATGTTTGCAATGGGAGTAAATTCAGTGAGGTGAGTATGGAGCTAAATATGAAGGTAAGTATTCGGGTAAGTTATTAGGGGATTATTGATAAATTCATATAATTAAAATATTATTTCTTATATTGTTCCGTTATTCATTTTCGGCTAAAATATATTTTCTTAAAATAATACTTATACCATGTCTTCAACACAAAAGAAGAGAGAAGTGTAGTCTTCCTGTTTATCAGAGCTAAAAAACTGCTTATGTACCTAATTATAAGAAAATCAAAAAAGAAAACAAGAGAAAGAAGAGTATTTATTTTTAGCAAAGCGCATAATCTTAGTTAAATCCAGCCATAAATAAATTTTTCAAAAATGTTAGACCCTGGCCCATCTTTCATTGAGAAGTGTAGTCGTCATGTTAATCTAAGCAAGAAGTTACGTACATATAGAATTTTAAGTTAATCGAAAGATAAATTTAGAATAGGTCAATCCCTGGTCCACTTTACGGAAAAGTATAGCCTTCCGTTTACTCGAAGCAAAAAATCACCACTGTACCAAATTTTAGGAAAACCCAGCTATAAGTAAACTATTTCTGAATATGTCCACTTTCCCTTGAGAAGTGTAGTAATTATCGTTATCTAAGAAGAGGCCAAAATTAGTCCGTATTTTGAGTAAATCGAAATAAAAAAGCTTTTTCCGAATAGTTCAGCCCTTGGTTCACTTCCCGTAAAAAAGCGCAGTCTTCTGGTTAATATGCGTAAACAGCCAAATATGTATCGAATTTCAAGTAAGCTGTACAACAAATAAGATTTTTTTGCGTTGCTCATTTACCGGAGAGAAATGTACTCGTCCTATTAATCTACCTAAAAGCAATCTATGTACCGAATTTCAACTAAATCGAGTAACAAATACAATTCTTTTCTAATAAGTTAGTCTCTGTCCACTTTCCGGAGAGAGGTGCTGTCTTACTGTTTATTTAAGATGAAGCCATCTATGAATCGAATTTTAAGTAAATCGAAAGAAGAGAGAAGTGTAGCCTTCCTATTAATCTAAGTTAAAAAACAGTATATGTACCGAACAACAATTAAATCAAAAAAAGAGAGAAATGTAGTCATCCTGTTAATATTAATTAAAAAACTGCATATATACCGAATAAGAAGCAATAAATACAGTTTGTTTTGAATAAGTCAGTCCCTGGTCACTTTCCGAAGAGAAGTGTACTCTTCCTGTTAATCTAAGCAAACAACCACCTATGTAACGAATTTCCAGTAAGCTGAACAAGATTTTTGTGAATAGGTCAGAGCCTTTTCCAATTTACGGAGAGAAGTGTACTCTTTCTATTTATCTGCGCAAGCTGCTACCTATGTACCGAGTTTGAAGTAAATCGAGCAGTAAGTGCGAATAGGTCTGTTTTTTGTCCATTTTCCTGTAAGTGACTTGCACCAGGAGTGTTTCTGATGGAGTGTTTCGCGGACTTTATTTACCAGCCCAAGTATTTGTCGTAGGAGGGCAGGAGCGCTGCTTCGTTGAGGCATTTCACCGACTCATCGGTGGGTAGTTTTACGCGCTGGCTCCCTTTTGTTAGTTTGCCTTACACGACCGGAAAGGGTTTTCATTTTTCAGCATAAATGTTACCCTTTTTAGCCTTTAAGATGACGTGGGTTCCGACAATTTGTGATGAAATAGCGTATGATGCGCTTAACCCAACAGACCACAACTGTCTGGAGAGTTGCATGCCCCTGCGGTATGAGAGGTCGCTAAGGAGTTTATGCAGTATCGGTGAGCCTTTACGGACTCATATCTCTCGTCTGGCGTCATTGCGAGAAAAGCGTGGCCGTAGCGCAGGGAGTGGGGGCGCCAGCACAAGTGGCATATGTGGAAGTCCGGTACCATGTAATGATATGACCGAGAACCATTATAAATTAAGGTTAGGGAGGTGGATTGATACATGTTAT